AAACAACAAAAACAGTCGTTTGGCTCGCAAGCCCTTCTTACACGTCCGCCACAGTTTAAGCCTCAATTTAATCCAAGGGAGGCATCGACCCTGCCTATCGTTTCCTCATTTTCAGTAGATACCAGCAATCAGGAAGCGGCTTTATAATAGAATTTTTTAACAGTTAAATTGCATTTGACCTCTCAATGACTCACCTGACCAATCCATTCCAGTAGACCTCAGGGAGAATATCTTTTTTCATGTAGTACATTGTGTAACGTTCCTGAAAGCAAACCAACAATAGAAAAACAAGAAATTCCTACATCTTTAAAACCAAGGCCACACTGTCTATTACTGCTTTTTAACAACTGTCTCAAGATGTTATCCACTGTAATAAATTGTGATTGGACTAAACCATCCCCAATCACACCATACAAACAACAAAAATTTGAACTGACAACAGCAAAATGGCGCAAACTCAACCATCACTTGGAATCCAGGATACAAGCTGTTGTTATGGCTACCTGACAAAAAACAAGAAGGCCTAGATCGAAATGAAATGTAAATAGCATCTCATTTTTAGGAAAACCAGGTGTTTCCAGTCTCTCAATGCAATGAACAATGGTACAGAAGATAATAGAGAAAGGTTCAGACATTCCAAAATGCCACGCTCTGTTTCATGCAGATGACGTGATGCATGCGACAAGGAACTGACAAAAGGCATGGCAGTGGAAATAAACTCGCCCTTCTCAACAATCAAAACCTAATTTTCTCTTCTACAAGAAAAAACCATTTGGCAAGAAGGCGGCCAGCCAAACTGCAATTGCTTTATTTACACTGACCTTTCCTTGATCGAAAGGAAACGTTTCCAGGGGATTGCCATTGTAGTCAAATTCAGCAAGGATAAGTTTACCATAACCAGTGACAAGAGGGCACGAAGTGTACCCATCATACTAGACGGAAAAAAATCATATTCAAAATAAATTACATATTTATACATAAAAAGCATAATACTGAAATAAAATCAAAATGTATCTCAGGTGTCTGAGCTGAGTCACAAATACAGAGCCTGAAATGTGATTATCTATAAATGGTCTCCTTAGAGAAAAAGGATGTCATGCTACCCCCCTATCCTAGGTCCAGTTATTTTCGTCAATGGATTTCTTTAGACTGTTCATTTTGGTCACATTTTAGGATCACATATCAGTAAGAACAAAAGGATAACGTACTGTCAGATTTAACAGTGACTTCATGGCAAGCGGCATCCCTCAGACTACCCCACCACTAAAATAATGCAGTTTCTACATTTTTCAGCTTCTTCCACTTTGCCCATTACCAACTGTGACATCAATTTAGGCTAAGCAGCAAATTTTACCTGAGCTGGCATGGGTCGACCATCTATCAGTGCAAACAGGTTTGCCTTGATTACACCAGTCTGACCGGCTACAGCAGCAGCTGTTTTTCCATTAGGCGAGTTGGAACAGTCACCAATGGCAAATATGTTGGGATACTTTTTATGTCTCATGGTGGTCTTCTCAACATCCACAAAACCATTTTGATCTGAGATAGGACTTCCAAGCAGGCAATCTGGTGGTCCCATAGGAGGCGTCACATGAATCATGTCATACTGAAACAAAAACCAGCATACTTCTAGTTTTTATTGTCAAGTGAGCTAAATTGTAAAAGATCAGGTCAAAGCAAACAAAGAGTGGACAACAGAACTTTAAGAAATGAGGGTTGGAAGCTACAGAAGAGTACAGATGCATTGTAAGATTAAGAGTATTGCACAACATTGATTATTAAGGATTGCAAAGTGAGTTTTGACATATGTACTTGTACGCTAGCTCACAAGAAAGGCCCTGAACATCTTTGCTAGCATAATGAACTGATTTTTTTGTGCGCTAATTACCCCACTTGTTCATTGGCTATATATTACACAAAGCTTTTTACAATTCATTATTGATTTATTAGGAAACATTTTCTGTGCACTAGCTGTGCTAAAAGCCAAACCAAGTGAAGTGTACCCCTCAAGATTACATTAATGAATTGATTATTAGCTAGTGAAGTGTTATGAATATGCTAGTTGTATCAAGAATGCAAAAGTGAATTGATTATTGGAAAATTGAACCCACTAGTCGTTCCAAGAATACAGCTAATGGGTTTAATGTTCAAAAAAATCAATTTAATATTGATTTTTGAAATGACTAGCGAGTTCAATATTCAAATAACCAACTCATTATTGCATTCTTGAAACGATTCGCAAGTTCAATATTCAAATAACCAATTCATTAATGTAATTTTGAGGGGTATGCTTCACTTGGTTTGACTGTAAAAATTCTCTTTGCTCACACCATCATTTTGACTGAGTTCACACTGGTTTTGCTTCTAAGGAGTTACATAGGTGCAGCTTTTAGCCCATGRTTTAATCTTGTCAGGGTGTTTTCTAACAACAAGCATGTAACTTAATTAAATCTAATTATACAAGGCTCGAAAAATGTGCTGTCCTGTTGTCCAGACAAGTAGATTTTCCTGCCAGGCAAGAGGCTTTTCAGTCTTACAAAGCAAAATTTTAGAGCCGCCTGTCCGAAGGGCAAGCTGGAATTCAAGTTTCTTTCGAGCCCTGTCAAACTATAGCATTTATATTGGGTACCCCAGCAAAACCTACCTGGTAAGTTTCTAGTAGCTTTTTCTCCAACTTTGAATCATCCAGCACTTCAAAGACTGCTTCCTTGCTGTCTGGTTTGATGGCAAACAAATTTCTCTTGAAGTTCAATTTGATCTCTCTTTCATTCACAATTTTTGATAAGGCATCAGCGTATTTCTTCACACCAAATATTTTATCCAGTGAAGTGTTAAACATTATATTTGCTTTGTTACGAACGTTGTTCTAAAAAGAAAGAAATTGCCATGCCTCAAAATACATGTAGATCCCATTTAGGCACATTATGTGTACCGGGACAGTAACAATTATTGATGAAAGCTAAAAGATAGAGAATGAACTCACACTGATTATGCTATGTACTGTGGAACATGGTTAATATGGACATCTATCGGGCATTCTTAGGTGCTAAGTGAATAAAGATCAATGACCATGAATTTAGATGGCGAATTTTTGGTGAATTTTACCCTTATTATAAGTGCTGTAGATGGGTGTCTGTATTAAAGGGGTTTGTTGGAATAATTGTTAATGACACATTTTATTGAAACAAAGGCTGCATTCACTCAGGCACCGCGCCCGAGCACCAAGTGTGCCAGACTGTTATAAAGCCTAAAAAATTTAAAGCAAATGGAATGATTTTCAATGTTTTAAATGCATGCATGTACATTACAATATATTGTCAACACAACATGATTTTTCATCCAAGTGCTTGACATACAAACTATAATTCACCTTGCTAACTCAGTACCTCTGTCATTAAGAGCTCATTGTCCAGAGCTAATTTACAGAGATCGAACTGTGCATAACTGGGAGGATTCACTATGAACTCTTACTTACAAGCAGTAGCTTCTTCAAATTGATTTTGTTAACCCAAAAACAGATTGATTTATACATTTACAGACTCAGTGGTATGCATGAATGCAAAACATGTTTGCAAAATTACTAACCAGGTTGAATAGTACACCTACTCAGGTATGCATATTTACGTTTAATTTTCATGGCACGCAGATGTCATTATCTCTGCTGGGCCAAACATTTTGTAAAACTTACCTGTCTAAAGTAATCTTCTGCCAAGTACATGATCTTTTGAGGGGCACCTAGGCACTTTATAGGTGTATTAGGGACAGTGAATATGGCATTCCCTCCCTGAAAGTTTTGTATAGCCTTCCATGTGTCATTCACTGTCAGGTGGGAGTAATTACAGCCAACACCAGGGGTCCCTAATGCTTCTTTTAGGCCATGAACCTATCACATTCAAAGAAAAGATAGATGTTCAGTAACAGCTTAAGGGATTTTGTCTCACTGGTCACATGTTGATGTGTGGGTATACACCTACACAAAGGACACAATTTTCAGAATACATGTATACATTTCAAGCTCAACTAACACATCTGAACATACAAGTCTGAAAAGTGTTATTTCTCAACAATATTGACAAAAAGAATGAGAAATTCTAAAGAGTAGCACCAATTAAGGTTACCGTATACCTTCAGGGGTGTCTCGCGTCCAAGCGATGTAGCGCGTCCGGTTTAAGCTGTAGATACCTTAGCCCCTATATCAAATTAAAGCTTATAGAGCTGGCTATCAAACCATACCAAAAATTTTGAAATAAAATGAATTGCCAATTTTTTCACGGTCACCAAATGCAAGCGTCTTAATCACCTTTTGGAAGGTACAAGTCAAAGCGAATTTTGTTTTTCGCCAATTTATTTTTTTCCTCGGTTTCAGGACAAAAAGCACTAAAAAAGCGTGTCTGCGTTTTTCCTTATTCAATTGTAGTAAAAAGTTACAGAACATTTTCGAAATAGGATTAAAAAAATGTGAAGTGATCGTACAAAAATCGCTCTGGGAGAAAAAATATTTCGAAATAAACAATTCGCAGACACGT